ATGGTTGTTTGTAGAGTAAGGATTTCTAAAACTGAGCTGAAAATGTAGACTTGTTCAAAGACAACAAAAGATGAAGAGCGGACGATACAAGAAACACATAACAGTAATTAAGCATCTCTTTGGTTGATTTGCACTGAACTTGGAAGATAAGGAGAGGACACAAGTGGGAGACTGAATTAGGGTATTTTTCACCACAACTCGATAGGAAGTATCCCATATCTCCAATAATCTTAGCTGATTCGTACCGATGTGTACCTCTTAGCTCTTCGTTGAAAAGCAAAGCGAGTTTCTTCTCCTCGTCAATGACAAAGCTTTCAGCTTTCCAGGTAACCCCAAAACGAGCGTATGAGGACACATCCACATTCAAAAACTTCCTCCACAACATTGCGTTGGGCTCAATCTCAATCGTAACCTAAATCTTTACCATCTCATATACTGAATTCTTCTCCAGATAAAGCGCTGCGAGCTGCTCTTCCTTAACACAAGACAGAGCCACAGTTTCGAAACTGTAAGAGTGAAACGGGAGAGACAGATGATCTCCAAATCTCTCTCTTTCAAAATCAAAACAGAGTAAACAATTTTCAGAGTCCAATGTCTTCTCGTCAACAACAAAGTAAGTGTTTCCCTTCAACGGCACGATGCATTGGTGACGCTTTATCCTCCAGTCCCGAGTCACGCTAAGAACCCTCCATGAACTGGAGCTAAAATCATAGATTTCGTATTCAACAAAAACACTGTCCCTCTCGCAAAACTTGAAGATTTTATGGTTACGGTTCATGTCGTATCCGAGAGCATAATGTTCAAAACCACAGTCGTAATTCCTTCTAGGTTCGATCTCGATCCACTTTGTTTGCCCTAAATACGGATTCCACACCAAGAGCCTCGAGTAGTCCTCCTTGGTGAGGCATCGCAGTGAAAGACTTTAGATATCTCGTATTCATTAAGTTTATCTATTTGCTTTATAGAAAAATCGACCATGTCTTGAGGGAATCTTTCGAGACTGAGTTTCAAGGAACAAACCTTAGAGTTCACTGTCATGAACCCTAGAAACTGCTTTCT